CTTCCCCTACATTTTCAAAAATTTCAATTTCTAGTGCGAAGATGGTATATGTCCACAACATCATCGTTTCGCTCATGGCGCAATTGATTCCATAAGGGGTGCGTCGCAGTCCCAACCCCCTCGAGTCAGGTCACCTAAAATTAAGGACATCACCCATTTGCTCGAAGCAAGCTTACGACTAAGCTTAGGCCCTACCATAGGCATTAAGCCAATGTGTAAGCATAAGCCAAACCTATACCTAAACCAAAGCTTATGTACGTTTCAATTATCGCGCAGCTCTGGTAACCTGAATCCCTGAAAGGACTGGAACGTCCCCCCTTCTCCGAGCATGCCGCATTTTGAGGTCGCAACCGCGTCGCCGGTGAGCTTTCTTCTGTCTCCCTGCTGGGCGATTGACGAAACCCTACCCCTTCTCCGTCTCACTTATATTTATGCTTAGTTACAAAATCATGACCCGTGCTCTCATATATGATCGAGTGCTTCTATTGGAATGTTTGATTTCGGAAGACAGTTTATTAAAGCTGAGTAAGCAGTTCCTTGAAAAGCACTACTGACAGGTTGGAAGTGGCGAAAAAGAAAAAACAGTTTATTGCTTCGGCTCGGCTGGTTTGATGTTCTTCAGTGCTTTCTCCGTTGCGTCGATGATTTCCTTCTGACTCTTCGGATCTGGTTGTGGAGGTGCTTTCGTGGCTGCTATTGCTGTTTTTGTCGCCTTCTTCTACACTCTTCGCTTTTGCTGGTGAAGGAGCTCTTACAGAACCCTGCGTTCTTTCTGAAGTATTTGCACTTGCTGTTCCTGAATCGGACGTTCCAGAGCTTGTATCGTTACGTCGAGGTGCCTGTTGACCAACAGGGGGTGGAGTTTCTTTAGTTGTTGGAGACTGCTTCTGTTGTGAAGTTCCAACCGCTTTAGAGATAGCGGGTCCACTAGGAGGTGGCGCTGGAGCGGGTCCACTAGGAGGTGGCGCTGGAGCGGGATTTGGTTTGCCATTTGTCTGGCTATCTGTAGACTTACAATTATATATAAGAGCTATAGTAGCGCGTTTCTGGGGAGATGCACCGGAAGATAGCTTGGAACTTGGCAATGTTTTGTCGGTCCTGGGTGGGAGGGGCGAAACAATTAGATCACTTTCTTGTGTCATGGGTGAGGTCATAATCTGTCTGGGAGTACTAAGCCTAGCGGTGCTTATCGCTTGTGAATTTGGAGCTCCTGCTAGAGGAGGCTTGGTGGTCGTCGCAGGAGCACCCGCTGTACTGACGGGGGGAGCTGGCGTGGTGTCGCGCTTTTTTGCAGCTACTTGTGCGACAGCTGTAGGTCCTGGTGCTGGTGCAGATTTTGTAGCAGCCGCTGTCTTCGCTCCCGAAGGGGTCTCAAATGCGTCCATCAAAGAGAGCAACTGAGTCTTTCTCTGTTGCATCTCAGAACCTGAAAAGGGAAATCAGCCAATGCAGGCTTTGTCTTTATGAACGTACACATTACCTTTTAAATCTGGTGGTGCAGTCGGACCTATGAGACAGTCATCGTTATTGGTTGCAGCTTTCTCCTTGGGCTGGCGAGAGCCTGAAAAGATGAGGTGCCTTCATATCACAAGCATCGTTCAAAAAAGTCCTAAGAATCCTCAAATTCAAGCACGGGCAGCCTTTCGTCATCCTATTACGTTAAGAAAATGAGACGTGATGTGACTGACGATCAAATACTCACATGGATCAGGGCTCTTCGCCATAGCGTCTGCTGCCAGCTTTTCAAGGAGGGAGACGTTTTTCCTCAGTCAATCGGTTTGTGTCAAGACGAGGCTTGAGGGTTACAAAAGAGATTTCCAGTCGACGAGATACTTTCATAACCTTAACAGTCGGAACTGTCATGAACTCCATTCAGGAAGTTTTTTCCTCCCTGCTGCGCCCCACGCCTCTACCGGACGAATGTTTGAGCAGCCCGAAGGCCCTAACAGGACTCTTGAAAAGCTCTCTCCGTCGGCAATGGTCTTGGGAGCGGCGGAGCCCGCCAGTTTGTTCTTATCTACCTAAAGTGCCGAGACTCCTCAAGAGTGGGGACCTGTATTGGCGAAGGCAATGTTGCCCGGACGAGGAGGAAACAGCGTTCACCACCTGCAAGTGGGACCCGCTTCAGGGGGGGGGGGGGCAGAGTGAAGACGGCCAACGTTTCAACGCCAAAGATAGGTGAAACGTCAATTTTTACAAATGTTAGTCTACAGACAGTCTAAAAGTTTGGTGCTCAGTATGACCGTAGTCAAAAAATAAAGCGCCTTTTATGAAGTGTGGTTTAGTTGAAAGAGAAATTGTTTAATTATTATACTGCTATTTGGGGAGTGATGTCCTTAGAACAAGACCTTCGTCAGGCGTGCTCACTTGAAGGCAACGTTTGCGTTCGGAGGATAGCCCACTATAAATGAAGGTAGAGGTGTCCAATGATGCAGGGATGAAGAAAAAAAAACAAGAAAAAGGGGCGCAGAGTGCGCGGGCAGCGGCACGTGAGCAGCAAGTGAGTTGGGTCGCGTCGTCAGAGGGCCACTTGCCTCCTCCCTAGGGTGCACTTCACAGTCTCGACCTTTGAAAAGTGGAATCCTCCTTTAAAACAGATGACCAACCGACGCAGCGTTTCCGTCTGTTCCGCAGTAGTTAGGTGCGGAAAAGATTGTGACTAACTTCCGATCGTACATGAATTGGTGTCCACCCTGAATTTGGATTGGCTATTTTCAGCTATTAGACGTTTTGCTATCACATCGAAGTAGTTGTAATGGCTCAGAACTTCTTTTGCTATTGCTAACAATTTTTCCAAGACCTTGATTATTTTTAATCCAGTTTGGCTAACAGACTACATATTTACCCTCACGACTTCATGTGCTCGAACGACCATTGAGATGTCAAGCATATCACAGATATTCGCAATGGTGTCACCACCAAAGATATATGAAGTAGCTCGTGTCTGAAATTGTGCTCCTCACAAATATGTGTCTATTTTTGCATTCAAAAGGTTCTGGTAATCCGCTTTAATAACATCTTTTCCTTTCTGATCAAATGAGCCGTGCACGGAAACGTGCTAGATCCCCTATGCGCATAAATGTGATGACCATGTATGATCATTAGTTGCAGCGTATAAATTCTATACGTTGAGATTCAGGTTCCATAAAGGAACAGCACTTCAAAGATCGAACGCCGTGGACACGACTCGATTACTTGCCATTCTATTGAGGGCCTTATCAAGGTGCAAGGCCAAATGTTCGGCAAGGCAACTCAAGATAGAGAATCGCTGCTGTATAAGGCAGCATTCTTAGCTCACGTTTCGAGTGGGGGGGGGAGGTGGGAAGGGGGACTTGGACGTCATGAAAAGAAGCTTTGTCGATAATTGTTTTGGCAACAGGAGGAAAAACACATGGAAATAATCGTAAGGTGTGGCGCAATTTCACGCTCATCTTCTTTGCACTTCTGTGTGCCACAATAAACGCTCTGAACGCTGCCCTGCACTCCACACCAAAATTAGTAGTATTTCTGGATTACGGCCAAATTAATTGCAACAGATTTCGGCCACTACATTCAAGCTCCAACTCAGTTTGAATAGATCGGGCGACTCACAGCGTTGAACTGGAATCCAGTACAAGAGTCTGTTGAAGGATCCGACCACATCAGATCAACAGCAATACCATCGTCGCAAGCGCGGGGCGTTTTTGGTTTCTGAAAGCATTATTCTATGAAAAGTAGGTATAATATCCATCCAAAATTTTAGTGTACTTGGAACAGATGCACTTCAATGAACTCATTGAATTTTTCAAAACTCTGAGTGTGTCACATTGTCTCAGTTGCAGGTTGTGTTGGCAAATAAAACTCAACACTAACTAACTACTTGGAAAACTCGATTAAATTGAGTTCCAAACTAGAAGTAGGAAATTCCAAAATCACACCTTTGTAATGTTCGTCACCGAAGTGGCGCATGATTTGGAGATGAAGGCATCACCGCTCCTTGCCATTTTGGTCCAAATTCTCTCATTGCAGCAATGAAGATTGCTCGCTATAGTACTTACAGAGAGCAACAAATTTACTACGCGACTTACAGTTTCCTGCATCGAGTGTATGAAGTGCTAGTGCTTGTAGCTCTCTGATGGAAACGTTGTACGAGAACGGAGCAAACATCCCGAATACTTCACTCAAATCAGAAATCGGCAAGAGCAAGGAAAGACAACCCTCCTCATCTTGTCTTCCCTATGAAAACTTTCGTCTTCAAACGGCGCTTCTGTATGAAAACCGTTTTCTGTGTTGGAGTGCAGAAGAAGAGCAAAGAGCCTCGCTCAACCTCAGAGAATTGAAGAAATCTGGTATGTAGGGAGGGATGGCAAAGAAACTGAGTAACTCCAGAGATCGCACATCAGCAGAAGAAGTTTAATTCTGTACTGGGCAAGGTAGATGATTTCATAAATGATTGTATGGAATAATTACGAACCTATAACTCCGAGGTTAGAGGCTACATATTCAATTCCTCCTATGAAACCAAAATAAAAATAGCCCCCAATTTGAGTGACAAATTCATCAGATTGATCCGTGTGGAATAATTCGAGAATAACAAGAGGATGCATGAGTGCAAAGAATCTGAAGTGTTCACACTACCTGAAGCGTTACCAGCGAGTCCCAGTTTTGGATTTCAGGAGAAATACCTCCGTGCATGCACAAAAGGCGACTGCTCACAACTGCGCAGAGTGGCATTTCATTGAATACCTATAATCATAAAAGCGGTTAGGCAGTCTACATAGTACGTCAGCAGTAGCGACATAAATTTTCGTCGTGTGACCTTACTACGTGAATAGCGCAATCCATTTCGGATAGTCTAGGCTCTGATCTTATGGTTAGCCAAGCGGTTCTGATTTTGGGAATGGTGAATGAAAATTCGTCTACCATTTGACTAATCAGTTCTTGTAGCAACTGCTTCAATCTATGGAATTGAAGATCTAAAAGAGGTACAAAATAGATCGTTTTTCTACTTTGCGGATTACTGCCTACTGTTCGCGAATATCGTGTAGAAAAGGGGAGCTTCCATGTATGAGGGGATGGGAGACTTCTTGCATGTGTCGCACATCACCAGGCTATTCATCGCCCAGTGAGCCGCCATTAATGAGAATCATACAGCAAGACATTCTTGGAATATAAGCCGGTTTCTGTTCACTTTGCTGACCGCCTTCAAAACATGAAGTTATCCTCCGTCGCCGTGAGCTCAATGTGACCTGCAGCAACTGATCTGCATTCTGAAGCAAATCAAGTACTTCTTCCATCTTCTTCAACCTATTCTGCGGTAAGCAGCTTCTAGTACACTCTGATTATGCTGGCAAATTTCGAGAATGTCGTAGTGGCTCACGATCCGTAAAGGTACTTAGAGTTCGAACCTTGCACCATGCTCCCTGGGCAGATTTTTCTGAGGTCGCCCGCGTAGAAGGCTACCATGGATGTTTCACAGCTTGAATGTGTAGTTCAGTATTGAATTTGTAGCATCGGGTATGAGTTTGGAAAACTGCGATCAATTCAATCTTGAATGTGGAGGTAAGGTTTTCATTGCCCCGTCCCCTCTTCTCTTCACCGTGCC